TAAATTCCGCTACAGGGTTCTCCACAGAGTGACAAGTGACAGATTCTTATTTCGTCTTTGATTTCCCTGCAATAGAAACTGTCATTACAGAATCTGAGTTCTGACAAGTCTAATTATACACAATACAGCAAACAAAATGTTCCAGCTAGTCTTGAAAATGTGTTCAGGCAGCTTATTCGGCTACCTCACTAAACAAACTCAACAAATCAGAACATTAGTAAAAAAAAAAAAGCTGCTAGAATATTAGAGAACTTTACAGAGTTGGGAATTAGAACTTTCAAGAGAAGAAACTGAGAAATTAAGAGGAGAAAAGAATTTTTCTAATATTTTCAATTAGTCAGGGAACACAGGAGCAGTGATAGTAAGACTTTGAAAACCAATTGGAAAGATTAGCAAAAACATATAGTGGAGTCACAGATAAATAATCAAATATTATAAGACTTTTTAAGGCACATTTTTAAGGCAGGCTTTCCAGAGCTTGGATGCTAAGCTACTGACCTTTAACAATATCGACATATTTTGATTTCTTCCGTGGGCAAATTAACTTCTCTCAGCTGGGAATGTCTGTATAGAAATTTGTCTGGAGGTTTTCTCAGGTTAGAGGTCCTCATGCAACCATTGCCCTATACTCAAAACCAGAACTCAAGAATGAGAGCAAGCAATCACATAAGAGCTGGTTTGTCAGTCACTGCTGATAAGGACAGCTGCAGCACTGGGGCGTAGTCTGACAAGCACTTCTGAAATCATTGGTGCTGGCTAAACTAGCCAGTTTTGCTGGTTTGTGTACTTGGAAAAAAAACCTTCCTCTCTTCACTTCTGGCTGAGGCATTTTTTAACCTCAACGACTCATTGCGTGGCCCCAAAAATGGTTGTAGTAGTTCAGATGAGAAGATTATATGGAAGTGAGGGTGGAGTTTTAGAAACTATTATGCAAATAAATGCTTACCAAATTCTGACTTTACAAACAAGTGTATTTCAGTACATTTCTGACAAGGCTAAATCCTACTATGCAAAGGCTTCGTGCTTAATGTCTGATCTTGTTCAATTTCCCATCAGCTGTGCACACATATAGCTCATGTTTGCACCTTCTTTCTGAGAGGCTACCTAATCCTCACAAGTGTTATTTTCACAGCTCCTACGTATGTGTTAATTGAGTATCACCGTCTTGAATTTTAGAAAACAATTCACCTTGGGAGTGCAATGCAGCTGCACGATTATTCTTCCCTTTCTTCTGTGGCTGTTGTATGTCTCTATCTATGCCTGTGATACCATGGTCTAGTATTAGATATGGAGGTTGGTGGCCCTGCATGTGGTAGAGGGGGTTGGAACTTGATGATCTTTGAGGTCCTTTCAACCATTCTATGATAAGCAAACAGCCTCCTGCCCAGGTTCCTTCCCTTTAGAAGTGTTTAAATCATCTCTAGGTCACAGTTCCAGCAAAGCAGGTGCTTTCATACACATCAGTAGCACTTTTCCCTTCTTTCAGACTCCTCCAGACTAGAGAATAAGACAACAGGGCCATTTTTCACATCACTACCTGAGGCAGCCAAGAACAGAGCAGAAGGAATTTCAAATACATTCAGTATTTTCTATCAATCCCTCAAAAGTAGAGGTGTCCAGCAGTGTGAACTGCTAACAGTATGAACTGCTTTGATCCTATTTGGGGAACCATGAGTCAATGGACTGCATTGGTATTGCTGATACTTTCTGGTTTGTCAACAAAAAAAAAACAAAAAAAAAAATCCACAACAAAGTCCTCTGTACTCTACTTCAAGTTCTGAGTTTAAATACATTAACACACAATTAAACATATTCTTAGCACTTCTTAGTTCCTCTGCTACTTGGGAATCATGGAAATTTCCTTCTACTTAAGTGTTACTCAATGGTGCTTTCTTTCCTGAAGATAAGTCTTTAGACAACTTCATATTTTCCTAGTGTTGAGATAAGGAAGATGCAAAGCAAATTGTCCCAGGCACTTATAAAGCTATGGTGTCAAGATCTCTATCTTCTCTATACTGTTTGGAGTCATCTATTTTAAGTAATTCTTATAATGCAAATGAAAGAATAGGAACTAAGTATACAATACTCTGGTCTCATTTGTGTATTTGACCACATTTTTTCCACCACAGCCTCACAGTGATTTAAAGACAAGCACTGCTCTATCAGGAGCAATCAGTTCCATGTGCAGACTTCTAGCTGTATTTTCCTCAGCACAGTGAAAATACTGATTTTCATTATCAATAATTTGTTATTATTTTATATCATTAATAAGTATGAATATTATACATGTTTGCAAGGCAAGAAACAGATAATAAGCTCTTGAAAACTATTATAATTAAATTGATGATCTCAGGCTTACTCTTACACACTGTTGTAGAAGTGTAGATATTGTATTCCTATTCTTTTCTAACTGTCTTTGGCCAAGAGGGGCATTTTTAAACAGGACTGTGTAGCTTGACCCAAATCTATGACAGTGCAGCTACCAAAATATGGGAGCACACTTGTATTTTCAACAATGTGTGTTTCTGCAGTCCAGTTTATGCTGTGGAAAAAAAAAAAAAATAAAAAAAATTAAGAAAATTCCCATGATTCTCTCTAATATGTAACCTTTACAAATGCCAAATTCAGGAAAATCTAAAGCAGAAATTATTTCCCTAGACTATGGGCATTTAGCTCCATCAGTATGTATTTCTAGTACATAGCTCTAGCCCCAGAGCAATTAGTGTTAATATATTGTAAAGATATTGACTTTTTGACAAAGACAAGAACAGCTTTATTATTCAGCTCACTTAGGCTGATATTCAAGGAGACTGAAAAGAGTAACATTTATTAGAGCTGTCATCGTTAGGCTGGACCAAAGACAATTCCTTTAACTGGAAGCCATCACATAAACTAATCTATCAGTTTATACTCAGCAGAGTACATTACAGCAGGATTTGCAGGAGAACTATTTCCCAACAATGTTAAATCAAACTTTTTAAGATAAGTCAGTAATAAATGTGTTCCAGCTGAACCAGTAAATACAGTATTCAAAGTGATAACTTCCTCTTTATCAATGGCTTGCTATTGAAATCCACTCATGAAAAAGCTTACAGGAACAAAAATTTCAGTCCTGTAGTTCTGACTTCTGCGGAGTCAAGAAATCTTTCATAAGCAAAATAGAGGCACACTGAAAACTTAACTCCACCCTACAACTCCTTTATTTAGATGACCCCTATTATATGAAGGATCCACTGTCTTGGCAAATGCCAATGTAGATCAGCTTCTATGTGTGATCATTCCATTAAGTTGTATTTGCATAAGTCAAAAATACTTTTTTTAAGTGTTTCTCCATGGAATTATTTTATTTTGTCCTGAAGTCTCAGTTTGTACCGTATCAGGAAACGTAACTACATTTGATAATGTAAGAGTCAGCAATGAGAGACAATGTTGGACATAGTTACAAACAAGGAAGGTGAAGACTGAGGTTTGCAGCCGCTACACAGGGACTGGCTGCAGTGACCATGAGATGATAGAATTTAGAATCCTGAAAAGCAGGAACAAGGCAAACGACAGGACTGACTTAAGGACAACTAACTTCACTTACACTTTATAAGAAACTGGCTTGGAAACTTTCATTTGAGACAGCCTTAGGTGGAAGACAGATCCATGACAGCTATTTAATCTTTAAGAATCACCTTCTCATGAATGGTCCATCTCAACACATAGAAAAATAAGCTAAGAGACACCCTGTATGAATAAATAGGGAACTTCACAAAGCTAAATCCCCAAACGAAGCACACATCAGTATGATGTCATATGGTATGGAAAATCCCTTTGGCCAGTTTGGGTCAGCTGTTTTGGTTCTGTCCCCTCCCAGCTCCTTGCATATCTCCAGTCCCCTCACTTGCAGGACAGTGAAAAGCTAAAACATTCTTCTCTTTGTGCAGTGCCACTCAGCAGCAACTAAAACATTGGTGTGTTATTAACACTGTTTTTCTCCTAAAGCCAAAACATAGCATCATACCAGATACTATGAAGAAATAAAATCTATCCCAGCTGAAACCAAGACAACCACCACTGCTACCATTATGTTCTTGACTAGAAGTAAGTGTGACTGCTCACTGCATGCGTGACCTCAGGTTTCCTAATGCATTATGTTCCTGGGCACACTTGGCCTTTTGGACACTTAATCTGTAAATGTGAACCAGCCTCAGGAAAAATATAGATAGCCATATGCCAAGATGATACACAGCTTTTGAATCTGTTTAAGAACTTCTGGACAGAAGATAGAGTGCCTTTCATATTTCAGATACCTCACTGAATTAAATGAGTTCATATGGATTGTTTTCTTTGATGTGTGCCAACATTCTGGTTCCAATTTTGTGTCATCTTGGATCTTTCCTTAAGAGCTCTGTAAAAATTAATCAATTAGGACCTAAAACTGTTTGAGGCAGATGAGAAGTATTACTTACAGGTTACTGTTGATTAAAAGAAGACATTGTGAGAACGCTCATGTTTACAGACACCAGTCACAGCCACAATCAGAACTACTATCGAGCATATTCATTCTAATCCATGACTCATTCGGTACCACTTCATTGACAATTTTGTATCTGTTCTTATGAAGCTTATTTCTTCTATGATTGCACATTGTGCTTTTCCTTCAAGAGAGTTTTACTCAAAGATAACAATATATTCAAAACCAAAAATAGTATTTGTTTCACAGTTAGAAAAGAAAGATTTATCACCTCTTATTTATCTTTTTTTTTTTTTCCCTCTTTTTTTTTCTGCATTAGGTCTTAGAAATTGTTGAGAAATTTCCTGCAGTCAGAAATGGTAGAGAGAGTCACATAAAGGACACGTCCATTCTGCACCTCAGAAATACTGCTTAATGGCTTTAACCTGAAGAACATTATTGTATGGTACAGCTTCTAACAGGCTACCAAACTTCTCAGCAACCCAGAGAACATTTAATTTTTGTCTGATCACAATCACCTAATGCCACTGCACATGCTACAATGGAAACTCTAAGACAAATACAAAATTTTGGTATCTGTGTTACTTGTACATATCCCATAGCCTCTGGCATGGTGTTCACCATTCTTCTAGTTTCTTGCTGCTCATCTCTGAACATGAGAGCTCGTCCACTTCTTTCTAATTCACCTTTCCTTTCCATCTGGAATGCTCCTACAGAACTTTGTACTGAAAGGACTGGAGTGCAGCTGGACATGTCATTTTTTTCTCTCATTGGAAGCACACTGAAGACATCCATTGGGCAAAACATCACTCTATTCTATCCAGACAGGCTTGGTTACTATCCATACAAAAATGAAGTCACAGGAGAAGCATTCAATGGAGGACTCCCTCAACTCGCGCTGCTGGAAAATCATTTAAAAAAAGCCAGAGAGGATATCCAGTTCTATATTCCTTCAGATGAACAGTTTGGATTGGCTGTCATTGACTGGGAAAATTGGAGACCTGTGTGGATAAGGAATTGGGGATCAAAAGACATTTATAGGCAGGAATCTATTGAACTGGTTCAGCAGAGAGACGTAAGTCTATCAGAAGCTGAAGCCAGGACTATTGCTAAAAAGGAATTTGAAGCTGCAGCAAGATCTCTTATGTTGGAATCTTTAAAACTGGGCATAGCAATGAAGCCAAATCGTCTTTGGGGCTACTACCTTTACCCAGACTGTTATAACTATGATTACAAACAAAATCCACATAATTATACAGGAACCTGTTTAGATATTGAAATAGCAAGAAATAATGAGCTTAATTGGTTGTGGGAGAAGAGCACAGCACTTTATCCATCTGTCTATCTAGAAACAGCCTTAAGGTCTTCCAGAAATGCCCAACTCTTTGTTCGCAACAGAGTTCAAGAAGCCATCAGAGTTTCCTATGTCTCTAATTCTACTCATCCCCTTCCAGTTTTTGTATATACACGACCAGTATTCACAGATCTCTATGAGGAATACCTCTCTCAGGTGAGTGGAGCTACGCCTTCAGTATTTCAAACTTAAATGGAAAGTAATTATCACAGGATGCTTTAGAAAAGATATCACTTTGTATCAGAAGTATATAAAAAAAAGCTACCAACTACATTTGAGCAAACTGAACAGAAAGAAGTCTATTTTCAATCCTACCTCGTATTTATCAACTTATGTTTTACTCTCTGAGCAGTCCTCACCTGCAGCAAAATATTAGCATCTAGAGAGCATATTACATTATGCTCTCTAGTACATTAGTACATAGTACATTAATCCAGAAGAAAGAATAACCTTTTCCAAAGAGAATTAATAAAACTAGGCTGGTCTAACATCTACTTCTTAACAGAAAAAACAATAAAAGAGAGTTTTTCTTTTTGTTTTACAATAAGCGTTTCCTTCTCCTCGCTTTTCTCTTTGGTAAATGTGAGGTGTATCCCTCCTGATTTTGTTAGAGGAGGCGGAGGTACCTATGGGTGACTATTGTAAGATCTTATACTTTCATACCTCTCCCATTCCTCAGCCTCCAGTTGAAAAATGAGAGGTCATTCAACCATCACTTCTTTGTCCAAAATGTTCACTTTTTCCTTCTTTTGGAATTCTGTAGTACATATTAAACTAAATAATTCCTGTTGCAGAAATTCTTAAATGGTAAATCACCATTTTTCCACTCCCAGTTATCTGATTTTTATGATGATATAATCTAATTAGTTTCTGGAATTGAAGAACTTTCTTGCCTGTTTAGGATTTGAAGTACTGATGCAAAAAAATCAGTTTGTAAAAACCAAAACAAGGACAGAAGACTGCTTTGAATTCTTTCTTCGGTTGACGGGTTTTAAGGCTAGTGAAGAAATTCTGTCCTTAGGTACACTATGCTAGCTTCCTAAATGTCATTTCAGCAAATCACGGGTTTGCCACGGTTAGGATCTAAGTTCTAATCATCTTATTACAGTTCTGGCTACCTTTTTCTGAATGTTCTTCATTTACCTGTACTATCTTACATACCACCAAACTGATGAATCTCCTCCAGGGCACAGGGAGGGGGAGGTTAGTAACTATCTGGTAACTATAACTGTGTTTTGTACCCTCCCAAATACTGGACAGAGCACTACTGAGCATGGCTCCCAGCTCTGTGCATACCTGTGAGGAGCAGGAGGTTCTGTCAGTTCTCCTGGGTTCCTGGTTACTCTCTTTAAATCCTCCAACACTCACATATTGCCTTCTCATGTTGTGCCTCTCACAAAGATTTTTTTTCCCCCTGTTCTTTTTCTGTCTATAGCCCTCTCCCATTCCAGATGGGCTTAAATGCTTTATTAGGACTGGGCTAATAGCTGACCCTTAGAAAGAGAAGTGAACAGAAACAAATTTCCCTGATCAATCTATGTAAAAGGTCAGAGGCATTCTCTTGAGAAAAGAGATTCCTGTTGGTGAAAGCTCTGCTCTTGCTACTTTTCTGCTCCAGTACTTTCTGAGAAATGAAATTAAATTCAGTTTAAAAAGATCATACATCTGTGCTTTCTAGCTTGCACTTCAGGCAGCATTACTGAAACTGGTTCTCACCAGCTCCAAGCAGTCAGAAAACAATACAGCAGAATAAAAATTAAAATGGTTGGTGGGGTATATGGGCTTTCTAACCATATACATAGGTTGCTCCAAAAGCAATGCTTCCTGTTTATTTCCATGGAAGCCACAACAGCTGTAAAGAGCACAAAAACACTATTTGGTAGACCAAATTCTTAGCTACAAAACATTATTTTTTCAACATAATCACCACCAGTATTTGTGCATTTGAATGAATAAGAGCCTGCATGCTGAGCTCATAAATACATGCACCAGCAGAGGTGACCCACTGTCACTGTTGCCACTGCTGAAACACACCACCCTCCACCTCACTGTGCTCACATCCACTGTTTGGTCTCCATAAATGCTTAGCAAGCATCAGTGAATGTCAGTGGGTACAATTTTTTTCTGTGTGGGGAAATCCAGTGACACACCTTTGCTTCACATGCACTTCAGTGTCAGACAGCACTTTGTCAGACTGCCCGTCTGCTGCCATCCGTCACACAGCAACAACATCTAATGGAATATTACTGGGAAGGTGCAAGCTCTGCTGCCATACCACCAGCATCTGCCTCTGATATCATGGGCCACCATAATAAAGTAAGAGGCATTACTTTCAGAGCAGAATCTTGTATAAACTGGTAACAGTTGCCAATATTTTCCAGTATTGCCTGCTCAACTCCATCCCAGAACAAAACAGTGTTATTGTGAGCAGAATGTTTGCATAGTGTATAATTGCTAGCTGTCTTCAGAGTAGTTATTTTGGCTATGTAATTTACTACATGGATTTTATCTTCAGCCTGTATGTTATAGCTTACATACACTGGTATGATTCTTTCCTCATTTATTCTCAGGATGACCTGGTAAATACCATTGGCGAGTCTGCTGCACTGGGTGCTTCTGGAATTGTGATTTGGGGTGATATGAATTTAACACAAAGTAAGGTATGCGAGGTTAGTTATTATGTGGTATTTTTAAAGAGCAATAAAGTGAAAAGGATACAGAAAAGGATTACAATTATTTACATCATATCTTCTACTTTAAAAGCGATGACTTCATATTGTCAGCAGATCTACTGTCTTCACTAACCAAAAACCAAGCCCATCTGAGGCTAATGAAGATTGCCACTGACTACTGAGAATAAGGCTTCAGTTTTTTGTACTTTTTGTGTTCTAAGATGTCAAGCAAAATTTTCTAGGCAGGCTTTTCATCTAAAAGAAAAACAAACAACTGCATATACCTCAGATTCACTGAGATGATGTCTATCAGTGTAAATATTAGCTTTATCTGTCTGCTGATGTGTTGTATTAGACAAATGCCCTAAGAGCATACAGCTTCAGAAACAAACAGTTCCCCAAACCTCTGGTTTGACAAGCATATACAGCATACATGCCAGCTTCGTGGTCAATTAGATGTTCTCTTAGTATACATTTAATTTGACCATACTCCCAAAATCCTTTCCATTCAAAAATGCAATGAGAGCTCCCCATTCCTGCAGCCCAGCTATTCAGAAGAAAACTGAAGATTATCACAAAGTGAATTAACAGAAAAATTATTTGCTTAGGCTGAAGGACTGTTTTGTGAGTTGGTTTTATTGTTTATTTTTCCCTCAAGATATTCAAAACACATAAAAAGGGACATTGATCCTTCATACAGCTTTTTAAAATGCATCTGATTCAAAAGGCCACAGGGAATCTCACACAGATAAAATGAAAGCTTAAAGGCATCTACTGTCTTCTAGAAGTAATATCTCCAATAACCACCTAAGATAAATTTATTGTGATCCTTGGATTATACAGCAACTTCTCTGATAAATCTGCTTCCAGAAACCAGTTACAACTGTTTTTAAAACCTCAGGAAAACATATTTACTCATATCCACTACAGTACTCTTACTATAAAGACAGCATTCTAATAGTTCCTGTACTAAACTTTTCAGATATGATGCTCTTTTTACAGAACACCTGTAGGACTCTGGACAACTACCTTAGGAAAACTTTGACTCCTTACCTCATCAACGTCACAATGGCAGCCAGAATCTGCAGCCAGGTAGTATGCCAAGACTCTGGTGCCTGTGCACGGAAAAAATGGAATTCCAATGACTATCTTCACTTGAATCCAGAGAATATTGTCATTCAAATGACAAAGGACGGAAAATACACTCTGCAAGGGCAACCAGCATTTCAGGATCTGAAGACATTTGTAGAAAAATTTGACTGCCACTGTTATGCAGGGCACAGCTGTGAACCCAGGGTTGATATCAATGACATCCATTACCTTCGTGCTTGTATTTCAGAAGAAATTTGCATTCAGATATCCTCAAATTCATTTTCTAATATAGACTCTTCTAAAGAAAAGAACCTATCTAACAGAACTGTATTTCCACTTGCCTCTCAGAGTAAGGTGACATTATCCACACATCCTGAAATAGGTGATTTCCAGCCTGCCACTGGAAGTAATATACTGCATTTAACAACTGCAGAATATAACACTGTCACAGCAGCCACTAGATATGATGTAGAAGCAAATGATACTTGTAGTTTTGGTAGTTCTACATCCTATAGGATAAATATATTTAATCTTTTTTTTTTAATTCTAATTCTGAGAACCTTAATATAAATGACTTAAAGAAGTGTGAATATTTTTTTCTTGGCTGTGTTTAATTTGCACAGAAAAACAATTCCTAAAAGGTGTAAAACAGCTGCAACTCTGTGGTCTTATCTGTATCAGGTACCTCTTCTATTCCTTGTGTAACACTTCAGTTTGAATGTAATTCTTCAGTTTAGTTCTATAAACTACTATTTGTGCCAAAAATATACTGGTCTGTATACACTGATTATACCTGCTAAAATGATATGCTGAAATGAGGAACACTTTTAACACTTTTTTTTTTGTTGTTTTTTAATAGTTGACATTTTTAACAGTTGCATTTGAAGAACACATCTGTGAATAGTACCACTTTGTATACTTCAAGTTAAGTCAGCTAAATCCATCTTAACCTGGATTTTATTCTCAACAGTTAATGCTCTGTGTTCATTCCCTCTCAACACTAGCTATTAAAAATATTTGGCTTAACTTTATATTGTGGATCTTTGCAACATAAGGTTTTTATGATGAAGATACCCACCACCCCAATTTTTTTTAAAAAAAACTTTTTACAATATCTGCAAGCACACTGTGGTTCATCTTTTAATTGAATATACTCCTAACTCTTCAGAAGTTAAGGTAAATATTGACTTCTAACTAATGCAACTTCATTATGTAAAATTGGAGCTGTAGCAGTTAATCTTTCCTTCTTTCTTCTCCTCTTCTTCTGCCGAGCTCTCTCTTTTTCTTATTGGCTCTCAGTTGTTTTGCCTGGCCAATACTCAAAACTCATCAGATCTGCTTCCTCAGTCCCTAATGGCACAGGTTATTAGTCCTGGTTTCTCTGGTCAGCAAGTCCTGGAAAGTGCATGCGACTGTCTCCGTGCCATGTGGACAGCAGCCTGAGTGCATAGGACATTTTCTACACTGATTTATTTCCTATTCAGTCTATTTTGTGGAAAACAGTTTGCTCCTTATGAAAACTGAACAGTGACAGATGTGATGCTGGGTTTCAGGGATTCTCATTATTCATTTCCAGTGCCTATGATCAATCATGTCAGATTTTTTATCCATTCTGCTCACAAAACCCCAAACTACCTCCCCTGGCATGTAGAAAGTTTTGTGCCCCAAATGCTTTCTTGGCAAGAGCAGTCCATGTGTGCCATCAAGAAAGAAAAGCAGACTGCAGTTGACAGGAAAGATAGTAATAGAGGCAATACGCCTATCTGGAGAAGCACATCATCCAAAAAGCACATCATCCAGGACACTACTGTGAAGGCCACGGTGTGAAACCACTTTCTTTCAGCTCTGAACAGAAACAGCAAACAATGAGAACTATGGGTTGCAATTTATGATTTCACTGCAGATGCTCAGCTGTCATGCAGAGGCTAGGCAGTTTGTGTTTTCCTCAAGAGACAGGAAAGAACTTGGTATATTCAGAAGGAATTCAGAGAAAATCAGTTATTCAAGCCTATGATCTGCCAAAAGCCACTCCGTGTAGCTACAATAGCATCTGTGTAGTTACAGTAAGACTATTTACTTACTATTATTTTATTGAAGACACATATAAACCTCAGAAGAAAATCACTCCCAGTTTCACATCAAGAATCTAGTTACGATTTCTGTACAGCCAGTTGAAGCATTCAGAAGCAACTAACTGCAGTTCATTTGATAAAATAATATTTCCAAATTATTAACTCAGATGCTTAATAGAAGGCTTGACTTCTAATGGCTAAAGAGTGGCTGCTGGCGCTGGTAGATTAAAAATGTCTCCATAGAGCAAGGCATGATCTGCATAAATAAATCATCATCTCACATAGATACAACATAACAGAATGATTTGTCATTTCAATATAGCAGCCCTTTACTTGCAAAAACCTAATGCCTAAATCTAGCAGAAAATGTGTATTGGATCTAATGCTTTCAAATGTTCGTGTTGTCAGTCATAATGTGCAGAAAAATAGATGAAGACTTCAGATTTAAGAAGAAGAAATAATGTTTAATGGCTTTTGGACAGCAAGTTATCAGGAGGACGTAATGATTTTCTCACTGCACTTACACTGTTGAGCCCACAAGTCAAAGTTACTCCTGCCATCAATGTCACAAGTAGACTAAAAAGTAAAAAAATGTATTTGTAGCAAACTGTCCAGAACAAAAGCAGCCAGCAGGTTTTTAATTACTTCTGTAAAAATATAGTTTTGTCCCTCCAGCTTTTAATGGATGTTTGACCTTGGGTAAACAAAAGCCATGGTGCCCTACTGCATTATTGCCGCACCTGAAGTCCCTCTGCTTCATGCTGAGCTTGATATAATTATCAAAGAATTTCTAAGACCTGGAATCTTCACTGGTAATGTCTTAGCATACTTTGTATGACTTATACAAAGTATTTTTTGGTTTGTTTTAGCAGAATCCTTTAACATGGATAACACTTTCTGCTGGCATATAGAGTTTTAGTTCAAAGGCTGCATTGCGTTGTGGAATCACATACTGAAAAGTTTCTTGAGGTCAGGCTTCTTTTTAAATATCTAGCTCGCTTCAAGACACTGAATTTGTATTACTTTGTGATAAGTGAGCTTGCAGCATCACAAAATCTACAAGTCCTGCCCAAAATATTACCGACTATCAGCCAAGTAATAGCAAACAGAGCATTTGTTGTGAAATCCCAACGGAAGAAGTAGGAAAGAGAAGATAATAAGAGTTAGGACAAATCATCTGAACTTCCCAGTGGGTAAAGAGGAAGTGAACTGCAGAAGTGAAAGGGTACATCAGAAGGGAATATGGACAGTCTTTCTGTACCACAGTTTTTATCTACTTGTATTTAATATAGACAGCCTTTTCCCAATGCCCACTATAAAGATAAAAGAACACAGTAACTGATATGTTAGATTAGATACATTTATCTGATCTCACTTAATTTTTTCTTGAGAGCAGCTAGAATTACAAAAGTATGAGACAAGTGAGAAGAAAGCAAACCATCATAAAAACTCTCCACAGAAACGTATCTTCCTAAGCTCCATCATAAGCAATTATCTTGTGCTCTGAAGGATAATGCTTTACCAAGCATTTTGAATCTATGTGTTACTCAAACGTACCTGAAACTCATGCTTAAATCCTACAGACTTCTTACAATAAGGAAATTTGTGTATACTGACATGTATAGTTATTTTCCAAGCATATTATTGTGTTCTGCATTATATTTGTCTTTCCTCTTTCTATGTCAAAGAGTCACCATGGAGTCAGCAAGAGTTTTCATGGAGTAAGGATGGAGAAAAGAAAGAAAAGTAGAGCTACTCCTGTTGCTGGGGATTACTTTATGTTCCAAGCCAAACTTGTATTCTCCTACAGCAAACAAACAAACAAAAAAACCAATCACTCTCCATTAATTGCATTTCCTGTAATCACTGTTGTCTCTGTAGCCTTATAGTTTCAGTTTCTTATGTTCTTGTGTTTTTCAAAAGATTAAATACTAGATGAGCATTTGTCCACTTTGATTACCATTCATCATTTTGTACCTCTTCCTTCCAGGCATAACTCAGGCTGGTTATATTCAAGGAATGGGGTACTCTAAACCGGGTTTGATGAAAAGATATTCAACCACCTTCAGTGCCCTTCTTCAATGTGTACAAATTTGGCTAGTATTTTCATTAAAATTCTGTTTCTCTATCTGAAGGATCTGGATCTGGCTTATTGTGTTGCTTATTGTTGGGCAGACAAAGATAATGGCACTTTCACAGGAGATGACTGTTGGATTTCACAGAATCTGAACACAAGTGAAGCCACAGACTAGTCCCTGCCTTACAGTTCCTTGCTTCTCTGTTTGAAAACTAAGAATGTGCAGGGAGATTCTGAGAGACGGGCCAGTAGGACCACTTTGCAAGCAGCCTAGGATGTGATAGCATCCCAAGCATCCAGGAAAATTTGTTAATCCTTGAAACATACTGGAATGTACTGCTGTATATATATATAAGAAAGGAATTGTGACAAAGATTTCAAGCCAGTACAATGCAGACTATGCAACTCCTAGACACTCCTAGACTCCTACTACGTATGTACCGGTATCTCTATCCGTCACAGTATTAATACCAGCAACAAGACAGCAGACAGTCACATAATTTTGAAATATATTCAGTTACAGAGCACCAATGAGCAACTAAATTCTTTCCTTCAGGCATACAGAATACAAATATTTGACCTGAGATTTCAGGGCAGAATCATGAGTTTGTTTAATTCCAAAGTAATGTAAAATCCAAAGCATTTAAAAATGTGCAACTTTATTAAACTGTGACTTCATTTTTCTTAAAGAAAAAATAATCTCATTATTACTATCCTTTTGTTGTGTTTTTTTTTGTTTTTGTTTTTGTTTTTGTTTTTAAACATCTTACTCAAAAGCAGTGTACAGGTGGCTAGAAACAAATTCAAAAGGTTAACTGATCTGACTTCATGCCTTATCACATCTAAATATTTCCTGCAATGTGGCTATTGCAAATCCTTTTAATTTGCTGGAAATACTTCATTGAAATGATATTTTTCTTTAGGAAAAATTATGTAAACATGAAGAATTCAAGACAGTCCTCAGCTTTTGTGTCTGTCAATCAAGGATCTAGGTCTTTAGAGAACAGTTATTTTCTGTAGGTGTTCTGAACCTTTAGCAGCTACTTTTCCTCTTCGTTGTCAGTAGTACTCAGAACTGCAAAAACTTCCTGCATCTGTTTTCCCATCATCATGTATGCGAAAGAAAAGGACAGAGACATAAAGGACACCTATCAATATTAGCATCCTTAAGGGATTAACTTCGGATATCATTATGTTCACTAATGTGTTCCTACCATCACTATTTATTGATTATAGTTCTTCTTTGCCAGTAGTAATTAGATAACATTTTCCAGTGTATGCTTGTATATCCCTTAGTTTATAACTGATAAGGTATTTATTGATTAGTAATCAGACCCAAACAGTCAGTATGAAGATTAATGTGAACCACTGCTTTGAATACTAAATATTTTGTTTCTGCTCCACAGTTGGACATCAAACAATATGCAGTCACCTTTCTCTGACTTTGTTTCCATCTCAGAAAATATATTTATGCAACAGAATTTCAAGATCCTGCAGAAGAAATATGCCATATGTTGGCAATCTCCTTCTGGAGCAAGCTGCTCCCCCAGGCTAGTAACAGGTTGAGACAAGATGACAGCTTGCCAGTGTATAGTGATGATTTCCTGAGGCAGGCACCTTACAACCACCCATTTAAAGGGAGGTAATGGAAGTCTGCAGTCACATAACAACAATATTAATGCCACAACAAAATATGA